TAAGTCTAGTTGACTAAGTTGTATAAATTAAGAAAGCTACTAAATTAGTTAATTATAGTATATGTTATATGATCTCTCTAAAATACTTATGTATTATTAAATTATATATCTGAGTTATACAAAAAAAAGATTTTGTATTAATTTATAAGTAAGACAAATTAGTTTGGAAAAAATGATAAATATAAATACTTTAAAATGATTTAGTAACTTGCTTAATTTTTTTTTGAATTATTTAATTAAATTTTATATTAAGAATTGGAAGTGGTATGTTTTATATGAAAATTAAACATTTTTTAGTAAGATAGATGTCAGTAAAAAGCTTATGAATTCATTAAAAAAACATTATTTTGCAGTGGTTCAAAATAACCGAGGCTAAATTAAGATTTTGCAGCAGTTATAATGAAATTGCTACTAAGATGTAACAGTTTGACCTCATGGATAGTATTTGCAGCGATTTTTTATGCATTAACAACGGTTTATCTAAAATTGCTACAAAATCATGACGCGAGTGAATTTTAGTAGCGATTTAGGTGGGAAAAATCACTATGAAATAAGATAGTAGGCTAGTGTTTGAAATTTTACAACGGTTCTGACAGAATCGATGCACATTAGTAGCGGTTCAATCAGAACTGCTATAAAGTTGCAGTGGTTCTGGTGGAACCGCTATGGAAATAGTGGCACATGTAGGGGGATGGGGGTGGCTTTTTTGGCAAATTTTGTTCTCACTCTCGGGCTTACTTATTCTCTTCGGGTTAGTATGTTTAGTGTATTTTTTATTTAATTTTTTGAGGTAGTAAGAATTTATTTGTTGCTATTTGAATATATTTATCTGTTTAGATTAGTGCTTTTAGTATGTGTTTAAGTAAAAATGCATAGATAATTTTAAAAAAAATTTAGTGTAGATTGTAATTAATTCTAAGTTGTTGTGATTTATTTTTAATGTGTTTATATTTATTCAAGGTAGCCTTATAATTATAATATTTGTTATTATTTGTAAATTTGTTATTTGGATATGGAAGTAGTAATTACTATATTACGTATTAATTAAAAATGAAATTAATAATATAATAGTTTATATTGATAGTTGAATTAATGTTGATAATTATTCTGTATTGTTACATATATTTTTTTAAATGTTAACAGAATGTTTATATAAATATAACATTTTATAGATAAACGTTTATGAAATTTATATATATATATATTTATTGTTTATTTTTTTTGCTAGCATTTTTTAATTGTTTTTAACATTTATTTATTTAGTGGACATGTCTTGATGTTATGGGAAGGCACATGTGGAACAGTCAACCGCCTTGTGCCAATTGTTCTTTCAAAACTATTTTAGATTAAATCCAACAATTTATTTGAATCATTAACCATGATAGAAAAGAAGAAACCTTAAAATTTTAAAATTTGTTATCATGGTTAAAAGAAATAAACTTATATTATGAGCAACATTGATCATTAACTTGGGCCTTGGACTTCCAAAGTCCAGAAATATCATTCAACCATTAGTCCAAACCAAACTTATACTTTCAAATATACAAATTGATAAATCATTTTAATATAAGTCATGGAGCCCATTAGTCAAAAGTCAACACCATCAAAAGAGCGTAATATGCGAAGTCTTAAATATCTCTAGCCTTCTAACGATCCCCATATCAGATAGTAGTAATTAAAAGTATTAGTTTACAGCATTAGAATATATGGGCCCTATGTGACAATAAATAACAAATCAGCATATATAACAAAAGTCGGGAGGCTATACAAGCTATAACAGTACACTATGCCTCCGGAGCTTTCCCTGATGGGTCACCGCCTGAACTATCACCTGAAGATAGTAAAAACCACAAGGTGAGACAAATGCCTTAGTAACCAACTTTTCAACTCACCATACATACTAACACGTGCTCATGAGGTGTCAAGTGGGACAGTTATTAATTCTCAAAAACATAGATATATAATTTTAATCATCAAAACCCTCACTATGGGGGCTAACACACAAGCCACATAAGTCTATCCCCCATTATGGAGGATTAATAAGACATATAGGCCTATCCCTTACTCTGGGAGACGAATAAGAAGCCGCAAAGGCCTATCCCTCACTATGGGGGACGAAGGAAGAAGCCAACTAATGTGCACCAATGACGGCCTTACCACGTGGTAGAATAGGACTCAATCCAAAATCCAAATAACAACCAATCATTCGCAATATAATAAAAATGTCTCAATCTTTTTTTAGTATAATCCATAGGATATAAAATCATATATTTTCTCAAACTTTTCAATCACAATTCCAAAAATCCCACAAGACAAATTTTCATAGCTCAAAAGATATAACTTATCTACTCGAATTCCAAATAACAAATATTATTCAAAAATAGCAAAATGCTCACAAACAACATATTAGCACATATAACAAGTGGAAAGTGGTTACCTCTCGCCAAAGTAATATTAAGGATTGCCACAAGGTCAATCCTTTGCTCAATCAATAATTAATCTACACAATTAATATAACCACATATTAATATAAACTAATTAATTAATTAAACTTCTCTATATTATTTAAATTTCTAATTTAATTAAATTTTTATCCTAAATTCCCACAACTCTCATAACCCAAAAATTATTAAGTATTTTAGAAACAACTTAAAATTTCTAACAACGCAGATTATTTATTTACCACCTCCAAATTATTTACCTTAATAAAAAGGATTTTTCACAATTTTCAAATATAAAATTATTATGTTCTAAATTCTAAAAATCCCATTTTAAGTTTAAACCTCAAAATCAAACTATCAAAAATTTAATAATACTTCAAATATTTATAAATAAATAATCTAATCAAAACTTTAATGGTATAACTACCATATATATATGTAAATAATAAACTTTTTGGCTATAATAATTGTTTTAAAACCTCCAGTCACCCCATAAATAAAACTAAACCGATTAAAATCTTAATAATATGTTAAACACCTCAAATAAATTATTCAACTTAATTTTAATTGGTAAAATATGATATAAATCATATATCACATATTTTTCAACTAGAAAAATTAATTTAAGCACTAAAAAACAACAAATAGACAAATCTAACCGATTAAAATTAACAACTCATTTACCTCTAAATTTCTATGATCATCTTTTACCAAAACTCTATATTTATTTCATATATAAGTCTCAAAATTTTCTCTAAGCACTTTAGTAATACTGTCATTAGGAAACCTAAAATATATAGAAAATAGTCATGAAGAAAGTTTGATAAAAAGAACTATATTTGTGTACCTAGATGATCTCCAAAGTTTGTATTACCCTTCAAAATGCCATAACTTCTCCATGCCTCTCTCGTTCTCTCTTTCTCTAATTCTTTCTCTTTCTCTCCGCATATGCCTCATCTTTTACGTCCACTCTCCCTTTTATTCTTCATTCCTCCAACCACTCGCTCCCATTTTTCCTCTGGCATTAAATCCTCTCCCCCCAGAGTCTTCATCTCCTCCCCCAAAGTCTTCCTAATGCCATTTTTTTCCACACATCTCCCAACTTTCCATGCATCAACTTTCCACAAGTCAATTTTTCAACGGAAGTGTGAAAAGTTGCTCTTTTTTTTTTGGTATTAAAATATTATTATTTTACCTTTATTTTTTAAAAAAGAATTAAAATATTAGGATATTACACGCCTCATCAAGATCGAGTTCATGATGAGAGCCTTTTGTCACCCCATACTATAAAGAGGAAGAAATAGATATCCATTTAAATTTAGATGATTTTGACATAGCATTATAGCAATGTTAAGGGAAGCAAAGAGTTTTATTAATAAAGATGTGGGGAGGGAGCGGAATGTCCCTCGTCATTCTGCTAGGCAAGGGAGGGGATTTCATATTCAGATATAGTGTATGTTAAATTTTTTTTCACATTTTTCAAGCATCTTTTATTTATTTAATCATATTATAGTTTTTAATTTTACAGATCATGATAGACATATCTATGAATTAAATTATAGGAAACTACTAAACATTATTGAATTAAATTATAATGGATGTTTCACTATAGCTCTTTCCAAGTACTCTTGGCCAAATACCAAAACTTCACATGGTATTATGACTGATAAATTGGGCATCACATCTGTAAATTTCTCAAGGCTTATTTATACTGGTGAATCAGAGGATGACGAGCCATATATACTAGCTTCAGAGGCACAACAAGTTTATTATGTGGAGGATGGAAAAAATAAAGATTAGAATATGGTCATCTATTTTAAGTCTTGAGACTTTTATGATATGGGTGATAGTGATCACATCAACTATGAGAGTGAGCCGTTTGAACCAACTTACTTGGAGAACTATTTTCCTAATTGAGATGAGAACTTACCCCTTATCAGGTACGTTTTATTCAATCTCAATTTTTGTTAATGACTTTCTTTGATATTCTTCTAATGAATTTATTTTAACAATTTCTCTTAATTTATTTTCTCAAGGATGACGAAGAAAAATGAAGTAATAAAAATTTTATTTATTTTTTCAGCAAAAATATATATGTAACTTTGAACAAGATGATATTTTAATATAATTTTCTTTTCTTTTAGACTTATCCAAAATTGTTAAAAAATTTAAAATAAATTTATAGATTTGCAGCAGCTATAGGAACAATCATTGCAAATTTGCATTTGCAGTGGTTCCGCAGCCACTGCAAATGGACACATTTGCAGCAGTTATCCCTACGACCACTACAAATGTGTATAACTTTACAATAGTTTTGTCAAAAAATCACTGCAAATGTGTATATTTGCAGCGACTTTTCAACTGCTACAACTGTAACCACTACGAATGCTGTTATTTAACAAACTAACAAACATAAGCAAATTTAACATCATTAGCGTAAGAACCATATGCTTTTGGGGGGCCAATGTTTTGAACAGAGGGATGAGAAACACAATGAGAAATACATATTGGGACAAAATCCGAAATTCAATAAAAATATGGGGACCGAAACGGTTTAACAGGCTAAAAATGTCGTTCTCCATTATTTATTTTCACGTGAGGCTTGGGACCTGCGTGGACTGAGATCTCAAGGAGAGCTTTTGAAGATTTCTACGCATCTACCCAATCCCCTCTTCGGCCGTAAGCCTCCGTCACCAAACCCATGGCAGCATTGTGCCTCCAAGTTGTGAATTGAAAAAGAAACGCCTTTCGTCTGTAAAATATACCTTCTACTTTCTTTAGTCAGTATTAATAGGCATTATTCCTTCACTGCCCCACTGCGTTTGCTCTTTTACCTTATTTATAGTTTCTTCCTTCCGTAATTTCGATTACCTAAACCTTTCAAGATTTGAACGACATTAGGTCAACAGCTCCGATCGCGGATACTGTCATTTGTCACGAGTGTTCAGAGTTTCTCTGAGCACGTCTCGTAACTCTGACGCGCAATCCGTTATTCGTCTCTCGTGCTTTTCTCAATTTTGTGATCTTTTGTCGGCACTTCCGATTATCCCTTCTTGTTCGCGATGATTTGCTCTCTTAAACAACCTGGTGTTTCTTTCAGTTGTTCTGATGTTGTTCTTCGGAGAAAACAGTCAAATCCCTTTCAGTCAAGCTTTCTTTTACCTTGCATACCGAAGGGAAAAGCTGAGCGATCTCTGGTTTCAGTGCACAAACCCTTGCACCTTTCTTCTCCGAGTAAGAAAATTTCAACGCTGAATCTTCCGTCAGTGAATCCTCGTGGAAATTCCATCAGATGCGAAGCTTTTGAGGCTGACCGATCAAACATTGAAGCAAGCGCGCCATCGGAGGCGGCGAAGAGGTTGAAAATTGGAATATATTTCGCAACATGGTGGGCTCTGAACGTGGTCTTCAATATTTATAACAAGAAGGTTCTGAATGCATATCCGTACCCCTGGCTTACTTCAACGCTCTCACTCGCATGTGGGTCTCTTATGATGTTGATTTCTTGGGCCACGAGGATAGTGGAGGCGCCAAAGACTGATTTTGAGTTTTGGAAGACTCTGGTGCCGGTAGGTTTGATGGGCTTTGTTTGTTTCCTGAGCAAAATTGATGGGAAAGCAATGTTTTTGTTCGTATTACTTGTGCCGAGCTAAGGTTAACTCCTGCTGTTTTGGATGTATCCCTGGATTTCCATACTACATGCTTCTAGAACGAATTATGTGTGTTGGGGGGGGGGGGTGAATTCCACTTTAGTTAGATCGAATTGTTAAATTGGGTGGAGTCCGATCAGGACTTTTGTTCGTGAATTTTTCTTTTTTTCTTTCTTTCTTTCTTTCTTTCTTCCTTCTTCTTCCTTTTCGGTTTGAAGAGTAATTCACTGAACGTGAAAACTAGCGCTTCCTTCTATCATGAGATCGGGTGGAGACTGGTAACAAGTTTTGTTGATTAATTATGATTTTATTTTTTGTTGGAAGAGTAATTCACTTAAGCTGGAAAAAAAGCTCTTTTCTCGTCTTGTTGTATTCATTAGATTCTGAGCAGATCTCAAAGGCTTGTACAAGTATATGTTTAATGGATATTGGATAGCACAGTTAATTTTTGCCGGTTTTCCTATAGGTTGCTGTTGCTCATACCATAGGACATGTGGCTGCAACGGTTAGTATGTCAAAGGTTGCAGTTTCATTCACCCACATCATCAAGAGTGGTGAGCCTGCTTTCAGTGTACTGGTCTCCAGATTTCTTCTGGGCGAGTCCTTCCCAGTACCAGTCTATCTGTCCTTAGTGCCAATCATCGGGGGGTGTGCACTTGCTGCTGTGACGGAGCTCAATTTCAACATGACTGGTAATGAAGTAACTTTTCTTCAGATGGAATTTTTGACACCTGCATTTTGTTGCTTTCATAGCATGATGAATCAAATTGAATATCAAAGTCAAGCTGAGGAAAAGAGAATTCATGTCTATTTGTTTCGGCTAAAACAATATCTTATGTTTCCTTGTTTGCTAGCACATTATTTAATCAGTTTCTTGGATAAATATTTCATCAGAGGATGCTACTTGTGACAGAATCTGTTCTTGGTTGCTTTTCTGAAAGGATTGGTGTTCAGCCTGCTGAATTTGCTTTGAGCTGTGTTCTGCAGGTTTTATGGGGGCCATGATTTCGAATTTGGCATTTGTGTTTCGAAACATCTTTTCAAAACGCGGCATGAAGGGGAAGTCTGTTAGCGGAATGAACTACTATGCTTGTTTGTCTATATTGTCTCTCTTAATTCTGGCACCATTCGCAGTTGCTGTTGAGGGACCACAGATGTGGGCAGCTGGATGGCAAACAGCCCTCTCTCAAATTGGACCCCAATTTGTATGGTAATCACCAGATGACTACAGACTGTTTATATGTGCTATCTACTATGTTTGATATCACAGTAGGAATAATGTTGATGCCATAATTTCTTATTGGCTTCAAACAAATTTTAATATTTTTGTCGGTCATCCTTTGGAGCAAAGTTGTTATGTGTTTTACATTCCGAGTCAACTTTTGTAATTGATCATTTCTAATTTTTCATCAGTTTGTCATAATTATAAGTTTTCTAGAGATGTTTGGTAGCTTCTTGAATGACTTCTATAAACTTAATGGACAAATTAGAAGGTCATCTAGTCAGTTCATTGTATATATACTTAAGCTGAGCTTCGTTCTGTTTTTTTCCTCCCTCTTCTTTATATTGGATTTATCTAGTCAGTTTCTTTTGTTAGTTGTAGGACCGATGGATAATTTCCTGTCTGAAATGGGGGACCATGTCGTCCTTAATATACAGACCTGATAGCTTATATGAGGAGCATGAAAATGTAATTGTCTCGCTAATATGTTCTTCAGATAGAATGGAGGAACAAATCTTTAATCGATAGTTAATTATGAATGTTAACAAGAACTGAATAATGTTTTTGACCATTTGAAAATGATTCTGTTTATGTAAAAGGTACAGTTTAATTCACTTCATTTGTGCTAAATGTCTCCTCCTCCTCTTGTTGCATTTCAGTTCTGTAGATATTCGGAACAGGAAACAGCAAATTAGTGCCATATTTGCTTGGATTTGAGTTATATATTATTCCTGCTCCCCCCCCCCCTTGCCTGTCATTTTGAGTGCTCACTTCTTCATTTTATTGTTAATTGTAAACATCAGGTGGGTGGCGGCTCAGAGTGTGTTCTATCATCTGTATAATCAGGTATCATACATGTCTTTGGATGAGATCTCTCCCTTGACATTTAGCGTTGGGAACACCATGAAACGAATTTCTGTCATAGTCTCCTCAATCATCATCTTCCACACGCCGGTTCAGCCCATCAATGCCCTTGGAGCTGCTATTGCTATCTTTGGAACCTTCTTGTATTCACAGGTATTTTCTGGTTCTGGTCAAGTTTGTGTTTTATTTTAGGTTGACATATATATATATAATTGGTTTTATAGCAACTGTTGCAGTTGTACTTCCAAAAGGAAAGATAAGAAATTGAAAAAACAATTTTTATATGAAACAGTAAAATGCTAACCATTCTTCCTCTCGTGAGATATTAGGTTAAGACTCAGGTGCCTCTAAAGTGACATATTTTAGTTTTGGATGTATGGTGGTTAGCTGGTACCTCAGGGTGTAGAAATTTTTGTTTTCCATTGATTCAAAAGGGGAAGACAAAAGGATTACATGAATCTAGGCCTTACATGACCCATCTTATCATCGTCCACCACCTCAGAACTCTAGATTATTGACTCCGTGAGTCTAGCTAATTTGCACACATGATATCCATACAGAACTACAAGATCTAACCGTATCCTGTAATTAGAGTATCTTGGCTTCCTGGATTGTTTCAAGGGATACGAAGTTGCTCTGTTTTGAGGATAATACCATAGGATGCTGATTGCTGAACTTTTCTTCCTCTCATTTTTTATTATTATTATTATTATTATTATTATTGGTTGAAACTTTTCTCTCTTTTATTTTAATAAAAGTAACAAGAACCGATACTCCAAAATGCGTTTCAGTTGTGTTAGTGTTGAGAGGGATATCATTTCGGTTCCTGATCCACTTATACCTAACTGACTCCTTTGGTCCCTGGAATATCAAGCATAGAAGGGGGGAAAAACTCCTCATGTCTTTAGAGATAAAAAATAAAATAAAATATTACCTCTGGTTTTTAATATAAGACTCGGCTAACTAATTTAGTGATATTAAGGAAGTTACTAAATTAGTTTAAAATATTATTATTTATTGTTTTTCTCCAAATTAATTTGACTCACTTACAAATTAATGTATAGACTAATGATACACACAAGTATTTTAAAAAGATATATCATATGTTATTAAGTAATTTATTAACTTCTTTAATCTCCTCAAATTAGTTAGCTATGTTTTATATTAAGAATAGGAGGTAGTAAAAACACTATTGAGAAATGATAACATGAGCATAATAAATATTATATGTGTACGTGTACTATTTTGTATGCATTGAAAAGAGAAATTGCTTAATATAACAAACTGCCTTTACAAATGAAAACGAAATTTTAGGGGAGATTTGGTGGTTGGTGATGCATTATTTTATATTTTGCCTACCCTTCGGATGGTTGTTCTGCGGTTAGGTGATCTGAAAGATTGATTAGGTATAGGACTTTGAATTGCTAGCTTCGCTAATTTTGAATTGTAATTTTCGCTTCCATTATTCCCCTTCCAAGTCCAGTAGTTGCCATAGGGTGACCACACTGTATGACTAGCGAATATGCTTTGGTTATTCCTCTGTAGTAGTGCTTCTGATGTTGCTTCTAAAAGACTAATTAACCACAAAAGACGTAAATATGTTAGATATCTTTATTGAGCAAGATCACATTTAATGAATTTTTATACTTACATTATAATTGATATTGATAAACTATATATAAGAATCCCATTCAAAGTTATTATTCTGATTTCTCGTCTTCCCTCATACTCTCTCTCTCTTTTCTTTCCTTTTGGTGTGTGGCAGGCAAAGCAATAGTGTTGAGGAATTGAGGTTCCTCGTTCAACCCACCCTGATCTTCTCAGCCAGGGTCCAAGCAAGTTGATTTTGAAAGATGTGACAGCTGGATTTTGGTAAAACTAGGATGATCCGGTACTGTGCACTGTAGATAATGATGGGAAACTAATAATAAAGATAATACTGCTGAGGAAACATTATCTTTATACAGATTAGTTAGTATTTCTTGGGTGATGCATTTGAGTTATGCTTTTGGAGAATAAGTGTCTGTTCTTGGTAGGCCAAGGATAATGTCTCAAAACACTGTTCGTTATGAGATTTCAATAATTGAGGACGATAATTTGGCTGTTATGTGCCACGGCTGACTGATTGAGTTGGGTAATGGGACGAGGTTTATTATGACGTTTTATTTCTGTTGTTGGCAATTATACATCAACTGTTTCACTGTTCAGTTTTCTTACGCAATTTTCTTTCTTTACGATCGT